CTAATCAAGAGATTCCATCCTTCCTCGAGAACATTGCTCGTGAAGGTGGTGGCTTTGGTGGTGGACGAGGAGGTCGATCAGGTGGTCGTGGACGTGGTGGTGGAGCCAACCGTGATTTCCGTAAATTCGGCGGAGGTGGCGGTGGTGGTGGATTCAACGGAGGTGGTGGATTCGGTGGACCTCCAGCATCCGGTGGATATGGTGGTGGTGGTGGTGGTGGATTCGGTGGTCCACCTGCTCCAGCTAGCTACGGTCCTCCTCCAGGACAATATGGTGGTGGTGGTGGTGGTGGTTACGGTGGCGGCAATGGTGGAGGTTATGGCAACCCAGTAAGTTCAATTCCGCATTCATCTATTCGAATGCTCAACTCGCAATAAAACAATCACTGACTTCTTTTCCCTCAGTCTGCTGGTGGTGGCGGCCAAAGCTGGTGGTAAAAACCTACACCAAACGCTTTCCGTTCCTTGCTCGAATTCTTATTTCGATTTCGGTACTCTTTAGATCTTGAACGGAGGCGTTTAGTGGATATTGATGGTCATTGTACCTCTCATTGATATCCTCACCAAAAAACTTGCTTTTCTCTGTCGACTTTTTCTTACACCTCAGCTTTACATTTGCTCCTCAACGAATTATTCTGCGCTTTTTCTGTTTTCTGGTAGCGATACCCACGATTAAAGTCTTCTCTTGCATTCAGCGATAGAGTCGGGATTTTACACGTGGTCTCGCTCGACCATTGATCGGCATACGATAGAACCTGTCTTTTGTTTATGACTGTCGCCTCGCATCGATACCCATTATAGAAAGGCAGTTAGACGGCTGACACGAGATGTCATCCTTTTACTGCTTACCGGTCACGATGCTTTTTATTACCTGGATTAGGGAGCTATATAAGCTTTCATCTAGGTTTTCCAAGAAACGCATTACGATAGACATGTTCTCCAAAACCTTACTGGTCCTGCTTTCAGCATTTCCATGGATCATGAGTCCTCCACTATGGAAGATTTGCAAATAGTTTCGTTTTTTTCTTTACATTGCATTTTGCTGCACTTTGCATTTCTAGATAGAAAGAAAAGTGGGATTCATATTCTCGATATTTTCTTCTTCGTTGTCTTTCATTCATAAGACACATGGCAAGGGAGGATACCATTTGAGAGCTTGAATTGAAGGCTTTCCTCTTACTTTTTCATTTTTCATTTTTCACATCATCTACGAGTGGGCGTCTTTTACGATCAAATCGATATACGACAGTGGCACAACATAGAATAGGCATTTCTCTTCTTAAAAAAGATTTAAGGGAAGAGTTGGTGCTTGTTCTCTATAACGCTGATGGCATTCGGAAGTGCTCCTGTCCATTCAGGCTGAGACTGAGACCCAAAAAGTTGGCAGGTACGGCAGAAAGAAGTCTGCTTCATATGATTGATGGAGGAAAAAAGAAATATGGAATGCGATGGATGATTAATTACTTTGAATGAATATGAAAAGTCTTTCCACAAACAATGCTCTGTCTTAGGTGATACTACCGGTGCAATTTGATATGTCTATAATTGCCTCTGCCTCATCTCCCTCCACCTAGTCTCTTTTGTCCTTGTTCTTGCTCTTATCTCTCTCCACGTCTTTTTGTCCATGGTTCCCTCCTATCTTCTTGTTCTACCTATATCTTCCTGTCTTAGTCTTTTTATCCTTACCATGTTCTTATTTCCCTGCCCCGCCTTTGTACTCCTGATCTTTTGTTTTCCCCTATCATTATCTCTAGATGACGAACATTATCTCCTTGACCTATCCTTATATCCCCTTGTCTTCCTACCCTCGTCCCCCTACACTGGTTTTTCTTTCCTCCCTACAAAGGACATTATCTCCCTGTCCTTACTCCCTCTTCATTTTCTTACCCTTCTCTCCCTGTCTTCATTGATGGCATCACGCGATTTCAATGCTTGAAATGATTCCCGTGCTTCAAACGATTTCAGTATTTTACGCAATACCAAAGTCCCGAATGCTTTTAATGCTTCATGTGATTTCAATATCTCCAACAGTTTCAATTTCTTCGAAGATTTTAATACATTACAAGATTTCAATGTTTTCAATGGTTTTGATATTAATAAAGGTTTCAATACTTCAAACAGGTTCAATTCCTTCAATGGTTTTAATGTCTCTAATGGTTCCAATATCTAAAATGACTCCAGCATTCGAAATAACCTGAATATTCCAAATGGTTTGAATCATCCAAATGATTTGAATGCTCTAAATGATTTAAATGTTTCAAATGACTTGAGTGCTCCAAATAGTTGAATTGATCCTTTTGGAAAGACGCCTACGTGTATCTGGCTAAAATACCCTAATATCCAAAAGAAGTGTTTAACAACGAAAAATAAAATGAGCTAATAGTAAGTACATTCTAACTTTTAGTGAATAGTCAAGTGATGACTTGTTACTCGTTCATAGTGCTTTATACTCATTCACATCCCGCTGTGTGCCACTTCGATATCCCGTCAATTGAAGAAAATAACTTTGCTTAAAGAGCGTAAGAAATAAAAGATCTGATCCAAAGTTTGTCCAGCATATATCATTTCCTTCTCTTTTATCCTCCCTCATGATTCAACCGCTTTCACTCCATCCGAATTCAAAACACCGGGATACCTCTTTCAACAATCCTTCTCAAATCCTTCAAATGCTTTCCTTTGTCCGTTGCTGCATTACCATAGACTGAGGTGGATGCTCTAGGAGAGGTCGCTGTGCTTGTTGTCTCAACAGAGCAGGCAAATATGCCACTTTCAACATTAATGATAGTAGAAGTACAAAGGCCAGTTGCTGCAACGCCACTAATGAAACCAGCATTGCATGATTTACCGAGGTCGGCCTTTGCACAGGTTTGAACGAGGCTTGCTCTACTTTTAGTGGCGGTTGGAGCGGCCGTCGCCAGAGCGAGGAGAGGGATGAGGGCAAGCATTGAGAATTGCATTGTGTATTTTGGTGATCTTGTGGTAGATTCTGAATGTGTAGATGTGAAAACTTTCAGAAACAGTAAAATAATTGCCTGGGGAATATCAGTAAACATCCATGAAAGTAAATAAGGGATGGAATCTTCTTACACTGCAAATATAATATGAGAACTAGAATAGAACTTAAGGTCCGTAGAATGTAAAAGAATGAATCGTGGGGTTCTTGCCGCCAAACGCTAAGTAAATGACTTGTAGAGAACGGGAGAATGAAATAACCTTTATAATGTTGAGTGCCGGATCTAGAAAAGAATCTCAATATGTAGTGCCTTATCATTTCAAATAAACATATTCTGCTACCTACCGAATTGAAGCTTTCTCCGGAAAATCCTTACCTACCAAGGTGGTTTTTGCCGTGTCGCTAACCCCTGCGGCTTACACTCATCCAGGCTTTAACACTCTTTTCAATCACCCCCACGATATTTTTGTCCAATCGTAATTCAAGCATACGTATGGCTTGTATGCGGGATAATCTTGAAGGTCCAAGGGGACATTGTGACCAGTAAAATCGTTAATCGCAGTTCCCTGAGGTATGTGGTCCGAAATAATTCTCGGACGACATGCATACATGAAACAATAAAAGAACGGCAAAATCGCACCGATAAGAATATGACTTTATCCAGAACCCCAGACTCCAATGAATACCCATAATTTGATAAGTATGTGCTTGTTAAGTTTCGTCCCTGACAGATCTTCAGATTGCGCCAGATTGTGGAGATGTTTGGACCTACTGAATATATACTTTGTAGTAGTGATCTTAGCAATTTTTGCCGAGGAACTTCACATGTTACACGACTGACCAACACCACAGCTCAAAAGCCCCCAACGGACCTCCATAAAAATTTGTTATCGGTTCATCTAGATCAACAAGCATAGTATGGGGGGTGCAAGAAAAACAAATTTCCACAGTACGGCTATTCAAATTAATGCGCGTCATTCTTAAGAGTGTGGGACATTGAAACTTCAATAGATTACTATCTCTACGGCCTGATCTCAATTTTTTTGTATCTAGGCTGATCATTAACAGTCAAGAAAGGTTCATCGAGCCAGTAAGTGTAGATGGCGCTTGAATTGTAAAGTCTGTAAAATACAGTGTCGATTTTGTGTTTCCATGCCGAAAGCGTGGTGTGTTTTCTTTATGGGGTTACATTCACCAATGCTAATTGTTCCTATCCACTTACTACTTAATTCTGATTAATTCATCTTCACTCGCGTAGTAACGATGTTCTAGATGGTCTTTATCGAGGGATAGAAACATGAGTCAGGCTGAGGATGCAGAACAGACTGTAAGAACCTTTCCTCGCAAGATCGGGCAATGAAAATGTTTTGTTCCCTCGCTTCATTAAGCGAGTAGAAGAATTGTAAACATATTCCCCAACAACAGGTGTAGGGAGGACACTCATCGGCATTGTAAGCACTCTTGAAAGCAAAACAGACATAGAATGCGATAACAAATGTTGCTTGTATACAGCATCTTACCTTATTGAGACTTGACAAACGAAATCACTTCTGCCAGAAGATTAGACGGACAGCACTCCGCGTCAGATTTTCCGATAGTCCGGGCTTCAGTCAAACAACCAAAAGCTCTCAATGTTTGAAGGCGATACCTGATTCAAAATTGACTCGGTATCTCAAGCCATTAGAATGATTCAATTGAACTCGTTGAAAGCTTCTAGTGTAATGCGACCTGAAGTTCCAACACAGATCACACACCTGAAACTCCTCTCCGTTCAAAACCAGGAGTATCGCAAACATCGATTGAAATTTCGCTAGTAATAGCTGTTAACACAACTTATTGATTCTACTTTAGTTCGTGTTTCAACCACTATCTAGAGAAAAAATAGTTGTGTGTGTGTAGATACGATGAATCGCAGAAGGCAATGCTAGAATACGTTAAAATATGCAAATTGCAATGGTAAGACCTATCCGTTCGATATTCTATTCCTCGTGAGATTGTAGGTAAGTAGATGATATCGGCCTACATTTCCGCATTGATGTTCCTTGACATCATTGGACTTTCCCGTGTTTAATCTTCCTCAACCTTTCAAAGAAATCCTCTTCAATGTCCAGGAATTTTCCTAGAATAGTAAGGTTAATCAAATCTTCTTCACTCACTCCTTTATCCTCTTCAACCTGACCAAAGTCTGACCCTCCCTTCACGATGTTGCTCCACATTACAATAAGATCCCAGATTATCTCCTTCCCCAATGCTGCCAATTCAGCATAACCCATTTGTTGCTTCGCCCAAGTGCCTTCAATCAAAGCGTCAATACATACGTTATATTCGGTTATATATGTCTTCTTAAGCTGGGTGGTTTTTGGGTTGTATTGGAGGTAGGATCTTATATTATAATAAAATAATATTATTATAATATTTAGTGGAAGACTTAGTTAGATTTAGCTTAGGAATAAATCGAATATATAATATAATAATAGAACTAAAATCAAATTATAGGAATAGATTGAATTGAATTTAATTTGCTTATTCCTATTAGGTTTTCTTTAAAGAATATTCTAGATTTATATAGTTTATAATGAAATCCTAAGGCTTTAATACTTATAAATAAAATTGATTTAAATCGAATCTTATAGAATTATTTTATATAATAAAAAGAAAGTATAACCAATCAAATTTAATCAATTTAATAATAATCTTCTATATACTTCTATTTGATTTTATTTTATTCTAAATCAATTTAATAAAAAATATTAATATATAACTATATAATAATATAACTTTATAATATAGAATTATATTACAAATATATTAGTTATTAAGATATCTCTTGATTAATAAGGTATTAATAAATGATTTAATAGATTTATTATAGATTTTTATATATTTCCTTAATAAATATATTAAATCAATCTTATTATATATCTTAATTTAAATTGATTTGATTTGTAAATTCAATTAATTTGATACAAGCTAATAGCTTAGTAAGTCTATCAGCCTTTTGATTATTAGTAGATATATAAATTAGATTTAAATCCCCTAATTTAATAATATCTCTAATATAATAGAATCTGATTATTATATGCTTACTTCTTTTATGAAATATAGGGTTTTTAGTAAATATTAGTATAACTTGATTATTTGTATATAAAGGAAATTTATTTTATTTATATAAATTAAGTTTTAATAATAGTTTTTTAATATAAACAGTTTCTTTAGCTACTAGGTTTATAGTAATAAATTTGGATTCGGTTATAGAAAAAGCTACTATAGACTGTAACTTGGATTTCCAATTAATAGATTTATTCCCCAGTATAAATATATATTTGCTAATGGATTTATATATATTGATTTTCCTTCTATAATCAGCATTATAGAATCCTTGAATATAAGGGTTTTTAATCTTATTATAATTTATACTCTTATTTATAGTTCCTTTCAAGTATCTCAATATTCTTTTAGTAATTTGAATATATTTTATACTAAAATTAAACAAAAAACTAACTAATTTAGATATAGAAAATATTATATCGAATCTAGTTCTAAAAACTAAATACAATAAAAAGCCTATAATTTCTTGATATAATTTAATATTATTATTATTAGCTTTTTCTTTATTATAAATTAGCTTTATTTTAGAATCCATTAAAATAAAAACAGGATTAGAATCTAGTATATTGAATTCAACTAATACCTTTTTAGTATATTCTGATTAATATAGCTTTAGTATATTACTAATCCTTTCAATTTGAATCCCTAAATAGTCTTTTATAAAGCCTAAATTCTTTAGATTAAAATATTTTTTTAGATTATTAATAAATTTATTAATAATCTCTTGATTTAAAGCTATTATAGTAATATTGTTGATATATATACTTAGAATTATATTCTTATTTTTATTAATAAAAATATATTTCTTAGAAATTAGATTTATAAAGCTTAATTTATTTAATACATTTTTTAAAGTATAATATTATATTCTAATCAATTGTTTTAAGTTATATAAAGCTTTATTTAGCTTTAAAGTTTTGTTTTTTAGTTTGCTAAATTCCTTTGGTAGATTTAATAAAAGTAATATATCAATATTGTTTTATATAAATACTAGTACTATATCAATTTTATGGATTAGCTAATTATTTTGAAAAGCTAATATAAATAATAGCTTCTAGATTATTAATTTAACTATTAATATATATATATCAATATAATCTAATCTATATAACTATTCAAATCTTTTAATAACGAATCTAGTTTTGAATTCAATAAATTCTTTTGAATCCTTTATCTTATATATTCATCTTATTCTTAGAGTTTTATTATTATTCGAATTATCAATAATATCTTAGGTTTTATTTAGTTCTAGAATATTAATCTTATATTTCATTGCTTTTAGTTAATAATATTTCTTTAATGAGTTAATAGCTTTTTTATAGGATTTAGATTTAATTAATATATAATTTAACTTATTAATAATAATTTTATTATTAGTTTTAAGCTTTATATTAAAAGCTAATTAAAGATCTTCTTGATCTATTTCGATATTCACCCCCTTATTGATTGAATTAAAATATTTGGAAAAAGTAAGTCTATAATAGGAAAGTATATGTTTTTTATTATTATTAATATTTTTATTATTTGGGATTAGACTTTTTATTTGTTTAGATTATTATATAATAAATTCTATTAACTTTTTAAATATAGATTTATTAAGAATAAGTTTATTAGTATTAATCTTTATATAATTAAGTGTTTTATTATTTTCGCTATTTTCATTTATTTTGGAATTAGTTAAAGAACTATTAATACTAGTAGTATCTTTAATATCTAGTATATTCTGAATAAATCGAAATTCAAGGTTTTCTTTTTCTAAAAACTTTAGATTTTAATCTTTATATTTATTAGAATATATAAGATCTTTTTGAATATCAATATCTCTTAAACTAATCATTTTTTTATTAATTGGAATATAAACTAAATAATTATTAAACAAATCAAAACCTACTAATATACTTTTTCAAGCTTGAAAATCTATTTTTTTATTACAAATCTTTTTATTATTAATTATATAAATAAAAAAGTTTAGAATTCTAATATAACTTAAATTGAACTTCTTATTATATATTAATTCAAATAATAAATTATTAATAAAACTATTATATATTCTATTTTTGATATAAATAATAACTTTAACTAAATATAATTATAAATAGAATGAAATCTCTTTTTCTTTAATTAAATAAATTAGTTTTTCAATTATATATTTATTTAATATTTTGATTATTCCGTTTTATAAATAAGTATATAAACTTATATATTTATATATAATTCCATAATCTCGAATAAAATTCAACTATTTATTCAAAAGAAATTTAAAAATATTATCTAATTATAATATTTTAATATTAATATTAAATTGATTTCTAATTAGATTATAAAACTTTATTAGAATATTATATACTTATAATTTGAATTTAATTAAATATATCCATATAGCTCTAATAATTTAATTAATAAATATTAAAAAATATTTTTTATTTTTAATTTCTATAATTCTAAAAGATCTAACTATATCTAAACTGAATTTTTCGAATTTAAAATCTATTTCAAGTATTTTAGAGGGTTTTTTGCTTATTTTTTAATAGAATTTACTGAATTTATATGATTTATATATTTCTAAAATAGAATTAGTTTTATTTAATTAGATATTTAAGGATTTAATAATATAATCCTTATTTATATAATCTAATCTCTTATAAATTAGATTTAAATCAATTTTATTTAATAATAAATTCAATTCTTGAATTGATTCTTCTTCAATTGTAAGGGTATTAATATTTTTAAAGTATTTAAAATTCATTTTAAAATTAAGATAATATATATTAATTAGTTAGAATATTATAATTTGTATATTAACCTTTTTATTTATAATATTAATCTTATTTTCTAATGGAATAATATAATTAGCCTATTCTTTTTAAACTATTTTATTTGAATTAATAAAAATAAAGATTATATAAGAAATATAATATATTCTCTATAATAATATTTCAGATTTATTATTAATTAGAATAAGAATATCTTTTATATTATTAATATAAAGCTTTTCCTTATTTACTATAATAATAAAATGATTATTTAATAATTTATAATTTATAAATCATTTTTTATTAAATAAATAATACTTTATAGTATTAGAATCTAATATAAATTTATATTTAAATTTAAGAGATTGATTAACCAAGCCTATATAATAATCTATAGTTATTAATTACTTACTAGAGATTAGTTTATTCAAATTTTTATTTGAATTAATATTAGTATTTAAATTAAAATACTTTTTATTGTTTTTTTTATTAGTTTTTAATTCAGGATATTTTATAAAGTATTTGAATTCTAAATATCCTTTTTTAAAGTAATATTTGTAATAAAGAGTTTTATTAAAACTAGTTTTATTAGTATTTAAATCGATATTAGATTGTATTCTAGTCTTTTTGAATATTAGTTCAAAAAAAAGTATATTTAGATTAATATTAGCCGGATTTTTAGTTAATTCTTCGTATTTTCGAGAAGTAAAACTGTTGAATGAGCTTGGTAGGCCTCTAAAAAAAAACTATACTATAAAAGTATTAGGGATATCGAATTTTATCGATTTTAAATAGTTGTAGGATGATTGAATTAAATTAGTATATTCGTTTATTCTCTTAGAATTTGTATAATTAAATTCTATTAGCCTATTTAGATATCTTCTTATTAATTCAATAGAAGATTCTCCAAATATCTTATTAATAAAATCCCATAGGCTTTTAGCTGACTTTTTATCCTTAAATCTTTCGATTAATTCAAAGCTAATTATAGATTTAATAATTCTTAAAGTTTTTTTTTCATTTCTTTGATATTCAGAGATCTTTTTATTATATTTAATAGCTAATTCAGGTGAAATAGCCTTTCCTGATTTATCTATATATAAACTTTTATTAGATAGTATCTCTATATTATTGATATATGGTATAAAGTTATTTAATTCTAAAAAGAGCTTAGCTTTATTGATCTATTCTATATAATTAGATCTACCTTTTAAAAGGTCAGATTTAAAACTAATACTAAAAGCTATTTTAAGTTCTTTTATTATAAGCTTATTAATCTTATATACTAGATTAATACTAGTCTATATATATATATAACTAGTTTTTCGAAATTTGAATAGATTTTATAAATAAATCGATTTAATCTTAAAGATCTAATAGATTAGCCATCTTTTAAATTAAATCTTTATTTTATTTGAAATAAAATAAAGACTAAATAAGCTAGGGCACTTTGATATAAAGAAAATTGATATATTACTCGCTTTGGGTAGCAATATAGTATAAATATATCGTCTAGAGACCTAATTTTATACGCTCAATTAGATTTAGTTTCAAGGATGTAGGCTTTAGAATCTATATATAGTGTTTTTCAATATAAATTCGATTAAATTGATTCGAAAATTTGATATTCGATAACTTAATAGCTATATATATATAATACACAGCCTTAAATCAAGCTAATTCCCTTTTAAACTAATTTAAACTAACCGGGCTTATAACCTATTGAAGATAGAATCTTATATTATAATAAAATAATATTATTATAATATTTAATAAAAGACTGTTGGTTTGAGAAGGATACGGAAGACGTAGTACCTACGAATGTAGGTCCTAAATGTCTATATTGTATTCTGTCTAAAGAGCTAGCTATGTACAGGAAGTAGTAGGTCTTATATAGACCTACTGAAAGAGCTAGTCTCTTTCGCTTAGGGCTTGTAATACAGTAGCTAATGAATTGAAACTATTCACTGTATGATCAACGTTCATACAAAGACTTAGTTAGATTTAGCTTAGGGATAAATCGAATATATAATATAATAATAGAACTAAAATCAAATTATAGGAATAGATTGAATTGAATTTAATTTGCTTATTCCTACTAGGTTTTCTTTAAAGAATATCCTAGGTTTATATAGTTTATAATGAAATCCTAAGGCTTTAATGCTTATAAATAAAATTGATTTAAATCGAATCTTATAGAATCATTTTATATAATAAAAAGAAAGTATAATCAATCAAATTTAATCAATTTAATAATAATCTTCTATATACTTCCATTTGATTCCATTCCATTCTAAATCAATTTGATAAGAGATATTAATATATAACTATATAATAATATAACTTTATAATATAGAATTATATTACAAATATATTAGTCATCAAGATATCTCTTGATTAGTAAGGTATTAATAAGTGATTTAACAGGCTTATTATGGATTTTCACAGATTGTAACAGACTTTATCCCCTCTGGCATCGAAAATTCTCTGGCGCTTAGCTTCCACGAGATGCTTGAAAGTAGGAGAAGAATTGAGAAGGAGCGCGACAGGAAAGCGTACGAATGGCGGCTGACCGTCACTGCCCAACGGAAACCCTTCTTTCTCTTGACTTTTCAAGAGAATAATATAGCTCTTGATACCAGTAGCCCTCGCGGGCTTTTCCCTCTTCTGCTTCTGGACTCTGTTGAAAGTTTGTTTGGGTTTGATGAGGTCGAGTTTCTTGGTTCGAGCTTTAGTCGTAGTCGGCGGAGGCTGCTTATCATTTGCGGTAGTGAAGGATTGGAAGAATTGTGCGACATCTTCGGGTGGAGCTTTATCGAAAAAAGGTGGCTTTGGCCGTGTGCCATCAGCTAATCATTTGTTAAATGTCATAGCTCTGAATGTAAAGAAGAATAACGTTTCCAATAGTTCAGGCCACAATTCAAAGTTCAAGTTTCGAGATTCTGGGAATGACATAACTCGAACTCCATTTGACACGTGCAGGTACTTAAATCTCTCAGAGATTTATGCTAAGTCTTTGATTGTTCAACAGTAGTCCGGACTATTGAATATCCTGAAAAAAGATATAACTTACCAGAGGTCGTTTATACACTCCTAAGTCTTGGGATCTCCACGTTAAGAATGTACTCCAAAACAGATGCGTCTCCTGCCTCTATCTGAGGCTTTAAAATGCTTTGCACGTTCTAAAGAGCCAAAGTAAGAGTATCCAAGCTTGCTTGAGCGCTCCACTTGTAAGATGGTGAGTCGGTTGCCATGATAAAACTAATTAAATGTTGTCAGTTCGATAGTACTTCGAGATGCAACGGTGGTTGCAGAAATGAAGACAAAGACACAACCTGAAAGTTCTTGTGGATGATAAGTTCGTGCAAGACCTTCGTCTAATTTAATCAATTCAAGGAGAATGAATATCTTCAAACCCGCAAAGCACACAGAATGCTCCACAATTTATTTCTCCAATACAGCACCCACCCACCATAAGTTTGAGATATCCAAAAAGAAGATTGAAGAAAAAAATTGAACAAATGGCAGTAAAAAGATTAAAATAATATGAACCCGCCACAAGGCATGGTAGTGAGGTGATCGTATACCGAGTGCGCCAGGAAACGCAACTCACGACCTACCAAACCAAGCCTGGGGAGTATACGTGGGTCCCAACCGGAGTTGCTACCACTGTGCCAACTCACTTCATACTCTCGAAGGAATATACCTACCTATCTTAGATCTATAAAGGACAGTCCTCTTCTTTAATATCACCGTCACTTTATTGGTGAAAAAGTGGGGCAGGCTGATTGGCGAGTCGATAAATTTCGAAAATCAATCTTCATTCACAATGCAAATCTGGTGTACTTGATTTATCATGGTATTCTATTTAATCTCAATGTATATCTTTAGAAGTTTCTAAAGACGCCCTTCTTAACTTTTCAGAAATGTCAACGCGCCTGCAACCAAAGCTTCCACACCGGTCTTGAGTGTTGGCTGTATTACCGGCGCAAATAATGGACTATGATTGATTGGTACATCTTCCATCCTCCCCGCTTCCTTAGCTTTCCTGATGACTTCAGGATCTGTACCACCAAAGAGCCAATAACAGGAAGGTACACCTTTTCCACCCTCTTTGTTTGGTGCCTCTGTTGCCAAGGTTCCAAAATCTTCCGATCCTCCCAAAGGCGCGCAATTCTGATTGTGATTTTCCCCAAACACATCATCGAAAGTATCTGATAATTTTTGTGTGATGTCATCATCATTGACCAAGAAGGGGAAGCTGCTCGTCGGTTCGAATAGGGGTTCATTCGTAGCATTTGAAGCATCGCATTCTGCTTTCACGATTCTTCTAATCGATTTCAAAACCTTTTCTCTTGTCTCAGGATTAAAATTCCTCACGTTAATCTTCAACACAGCTTCATCTGCAATGATATTCTCCGTCATCCCCGCAACAACGCTTCCTACTGTTATTACAGCTGAATCTTGAGGGTTTACTTCTCTACTTATGATTCCTTGCAATCGTACAACAATATTAGCAGCCATAAACACCGGATCGATTGTCATATGTGGCTGTGATGCATGACCACCCTTTCCATAAACCGTCACCCGGAAACTATCTGCAGCAGATCCAGAGATTCCTGTTCGCGTTCCCACTTGTCCAGCTGCAAGCGGCATTACATGCTGTCCTAATACCACATCCGGAATAGGACACGCGTGTCTTTCAGGATCATACAATCCATCTTCTATCATAGCTTTCGCTCCTGCACCTCGCTCCTCATTTGGTTGGAACAATATCACCAACGTACCTTTCCAAGTGGACTTTGCTTTTGATAATGTTTCTGCAGCGGCTAACATACATGCTATATGCATATCATGTCCACAAGCGTGCATTACATCCTTTTCAATACCATCTGCGCCATCAACTTCTCTTTTCGTGCTAGCATATGGTAGACCGGTCAATTCCTTGACGGGTAATGCATCAATATCTGCACGAAGAAGAACAATAGGTCCAGAAGAGTTCTTCAAAATTCCAATGAGGCCAGTGCCACCGATATTTGTACGGACTTCAAAATTGGGGAGCTTTCGTAGTTCCTTTGCAGCAGTCTCTGAAGCTAGATGCTCCTGGAGTGATAGTCCAGGATTTTGATGGAGATTTTTGTAGACTGATTCGTAATAGCTGAGGTCAGGAATATACTCCTGGAGAAGCGCTGGGATACTCATGCTTGCTGTTTGTCTCATCAAGCTATCAGCAACAGTCAATGATAATTGATGAGGATAATCAATCCAAAGCCCGTGTCGATTGGAGGAGAAACTGAGGTCTTATCGCCAATGGACAGTCTTGATATATTGTCAAGTCGAATGAAGAGAACTGATTGATAAGCTTCAGTGTAAAGATACGGGCGGGGCCTCCATAGATACAGTGATGGCACGTGATGGGCTGGATTAGAGAGACCCCTAAGCTTGCCCACATTTCCCCATCTTCGTCCAACTTTCCCCCGCTATATGCGGGGCAAGCGGCTTTATCGAGTTCAGAACAACATCTCCAGATAACAAATGAAGCTCCAGGCAATAAAATTTTCTTCTTAAAAATTTCAGACATCCACAACACAAAATGGCCGATAATAACTTGGTCGATCGACTAGCCCTTATCACAGGTGCATCTGGGGGGTAAGAGGCACCACTCTTGACTGCGAAAGCTATGAATAACAAGGAGATAGTATAGGATCAGCTTGTGCTCGTGCATTTGCAGCTGAAGGAGTTCATCTCGCACTCACATATTCCACTTCCAAAGATGCGATTGATAGACTTCTGGACGAATTACGGCAAACATCATCAGGGAAAGATCTTCGAATCTCTATTCATCAAGTAGATATGGGTTCCCCAGAACAAATCTCGGGTCTCTTTGATGAGATCAAACGTGATCATGGGGGTCGCACAGTAGATATCTTAGTATCGAATGCTGGGTATGGAAAGAGAATTGTAGATATATCAGATATCCCATTAGAGGAATTTGACTATACCCTCAACATCAATTTGAGAGCCTCGTTCTTATTGGTTAAAGGTGTGGTTGAAGGAATGAAGGCACAAAAGTGGGGGAGAATCATCTTTATATCAAGTATAGCTGCTTATGGGGCTGGGCTCAATGGTTGCCGTATGATATATGCTTTTTATTTCTTCCCTTGAGTTTTTGGCTGATATGCACTTAGATTACGCTGCGTCGAAAGGTGGTCTTACGTCTATGATGAAGAATCTATCACTTCACCTTGCCGAGTACAAAATTACAGTCAATGATGTGGCACCAGCAATGATTGGCAACACAGGTATGATTCCAAATGCCGATGTTGCTCCTGGTTTACTTGATGCAATTCCGCTACATCGATTGGGAACTCCAGAAGAATGCTCGAATGCAGTTATGATGTTTGCAAAGACTGGATACGCTACTGGTCAAAGCTTGTTACTTGCAGGGGGGTTAAATCATAAGTAGACAGCTTTTGGCATTGTGTCTAGGAGCTCGTTGCAATCCTATCATAAGGCAGTATATTTATGGGTAGGGTTCCATTGGTAATGGTACTGTCTGTTGCTCAAATTGAGCTCACTGGGTCCATAACAAAATAATAGCGAGTTGATCTCCTTCCGATGTCGAAGCGAACATTAGACGTTCACATTTCAGTATCTGTGAACGCATTGTACAAAATGTGAATCGCTTGAGTCTTCGACGAAGTTCTTGTATCCGATTGTTCACTTCCAGTCTAGAACTTGGGAAGTATTATAAGCATTGAGGCTCATGAGAATTTGAACTCATTATACTTTTGAATATTTGAAATAGCAAGGCAAAAAGGCAAGACGAAAAGAGGGTATCATCTCGCATCCCACATCCCACAACGAAAAAAGGCATCAAAAGTACCACTTCAATATCCCATCGCCTATTATTGAAAGAAATCCCAGCCTCATCAACTTCCTGAACCTATTTTCCCCCATGTATAATTATACAATACAAGTGACGCTCCATTCCAAAAACAAAGACAGTTGGGGAATATAAATGCAAAGGTGCTCAGACACCAGGTACTTTGACATCCGTTCTACCACTCCTGTGCCAAATTGCCAATAATGCACCACAATGTCCGCATTTATGTTCAACATCCTTGAGACCAGAAATAAGGTAGGGTATACATCCTAGACAGGTGACTGCGCAGCAAAGAAGCGCGATGAGACTAATATACGATTAGTATTATTATTTATTGCCTTCGAAGAGGCGAAAGAGACAAACTTACTGTGTAGTCATTCCACTGTGACTTTCAACAGCTGTTACCTCTCTTACACCGCAAACAGGACAATCTACAGGAGTAGGGCCGGTTTGGAGTGCACGGATAGGCATAGCAGTGGCATAGTTATTCCTTCCCTGGTTGATATTTGCTTGGGGTGGAGGTTGCGCTGGATAATGATCTTGAGGAGGGTATTGACCTTGAGGAGGTGGAGCTTGATGTTGACTCTTCTCATTTGTGAAACCCTCGTGCTGAGGTGGGATTTGTTGTGATGCCATTGTATTTTGATTAGGGCCGACGACTTCAATACCTTGGTAAGCATCCGGATGGATGTTTTGTTGAGTTTGATGTGATTGTGGAGGTAAATCAGGATGTGGTTGTTGTTGAATATTTGAAGTAGATGTGTTGGTGATACCAGTTAATTGTGGAGAAACGGCCGTGAGGTTATGACTGGTTGAACCTGTGATTTGAGGAGATGTAAGGGGAGAAACTCCTTCTTGATAGGTAGGTGGAGGTGGATTATTATATTCGGCCATTGTCAGACGTTGTTTAGTGAATTGATTTGACAAATTGAAAGGGGCTTCACAAAGGGCTGTGGAGGCGCGTGGAGGCGTGGAAAGTATGATGTATGGTGTCGTTTCTATTTCAGCTAAGGCTCATCAAATAACTTGATCTTATGGAATGTGCAAAGACTAGGGATTCCAAGTTTTCGCCGAGATTTCTGAATCTTGTTTTATAATGACTGTGGTTTGGAAATTGAAGCTTCGTGAAGTTTGATTGCACGTAGATGAAATGTTTAATGAAATTTCCGGGCGTGGCTCCGAGTGTATTGCTGGATGCTACGAGGTATCCACATCAATGGGTTCTCCAAGTAAAGATAGGATAGTTTGTGTTGTAGAGAGAATGAAGGATGGAGTGAAAGGGTGAGAGGGTGAAAGGGTGAAAGAGTGAAAGAGTGAAAAGACGTTGGTTAGCATTACCTCCCAGCTCCCCAGCTACCCACTCGTTCTTTGCTAAGTTGTTACCTAGACCTTAGATCAACAGAAGGAGTTGAATGATACCGCAGCTGAACGGTTGGAGTGGCACAGGCCTGAATAAAGCTCACGCTAATGCAATAAATTATGTCAAAAATGGATATGTACCCAGGATAGTGCAGGATTATGAGGATATTACATAGGAAATGTAGAATATCTCCACTATTTTAAGTTAAGCTAATCAAATCACTCTATTGGAAATTAAGAAGGAGGATGGAGATGGAAATGGATCAGCCCTGGATCAGCCCTGGATCAGCCCTGGATCAACCTTGGCTCAACAACTGAAACTGGAGAATCGAGAGAAAAACTCCAAATTGGATGATTGGTGCCATGGGTACGGAGTGAAGGCTCGTGTGGCTCATATGGCTCATATGGCTCATGTGGCTCATTTTGGCACGTGCTGGGGCTGAGTCCAGGTTGATGATCCTGAGAGTCTACTCTGTCCAACAACTTCTGCATGCACTCTTCAATAAAATCTTCCCCCAGTTCCCGAGCTCGCCACTACGAATTATCTCCTTCATTCAAACCCCTTCAAAACTATGGTATCTCAGACCTCTCGTAACAGCGATCCATGAGAATGTTTCTCGCAAAATCATCCCTTGATCATACACACCATGAAGGATAGTGTGGGTATGACATTGCATAAGTCGGATACGTTTGGATGGGACTCGGACATTGTGAAGCGTAATCATACATGAACGCTTCATTATTTTCATACTCGATTTGTTCTTGCTCTTGTTCCGGTTGCTGCCAGGTTTCAAAGTAAGCATATTGTCAAATTTGATGATTGGAAGCAACAGTATTGCTACCATCACCCAATCGCATGTCGTCAGACAGCTTATATGCAACTTACAATAGGACAATCCACGTGAGCCAAACTTGTTTGTTTTCTTGGTCGAGAAATACTAAATTCTCCACATCGTCTATGACTGACAATCTTCTTGTGGTTTCTTTGCCATCTCTTGAACCTCGAACAGATGTAAACGCTGGTACTTGATTCATTGCATCCTGTGCAACGAACTTCTTGCTCAACGCACATCTTAATATAGCGAGCGATTCTAAAAAAAAAAGCTTCAATGAGATTGGGAATTTGATCGAATGATTTTGTTGGATTGTTCGGGAGCAATTGCTACATTTGCGGAGTGCCCGTCAGGAATTCATGCTCCGCACAGTAGGACTTGTCTAGATTTCAAAAGTTTGAAATCGAAGAGACAGACTACTTGTATTTAACTCCAGAGCTACCTGACAAACGTCCCATTTTATCTGGTAAAATCACATAAAACTTATACACGTATCGCTCATGAACCAAGTGGTCCATTTCTACTCGAGCGCACCAACGCACAAAAGATAACAAGGCATCTTAATGGCGGTTCACACCCCACCCTTATTTTTATCGGCTAAACCGATATTCAAATTATTCACTACATGTTTGATCACTACTTACTACTCATGTAACCACAATAAATGATATCGAATAGGCTTCATCCTTCTCTCACCTCTTAACTAATATCTTTACAATGCACTGGTCCACGAGAAAGACGAGGCAGATGATTGTTTCTTCCCAGTGGTTGGCGAATGCATGCAGCGAGAATACTATGTATTCAGAATGATTTAACCGGACCAAATTATTCAAAAGTTCGGAGCGGGATGACAGATTTGATTCAAGCTGTCAATATTTTATGTATATTTCGCAAGGATGTTTCTTGCTCTGATGATGGTTCTGTATTGGATATAAGTGATTGCCCCGGCAATTAGAATTCTCCTCGCATTGGTATCTTTCGCAGATGGATACGTTCATGATTCTACTCTTGTCTAACAAAGTAGAATCCGCGAACTTATCCATCGTTCATGTGCTCTCACAGAATACTTCACCGATTGCAACTTGTGTTACTGGAAGATCACACACCTTCATTACAGCCCGTACTGCAGCGCGTCTGAAATACCCGGTGCAAGTGCTTCCCATAGTTCGGATTGCGGTTTATTTGAGATTCTAGTTTCAAAGTTTTCGATTGTGGGATTTGGACCATTGAAAACCCTGCAAGGGTGTTCATTGAACGCTTTTTGCCAGTGCGACCATCTCATCAACTATCAATTGGAACCAGAGCAACCCGTACAATACTTGGATCGATTTACTTGAGCACAATTGTGACAAGCGTTCGTATATTTATATCCTTCTTCTCTCTTCCGCTCCACCCTTTCTGATGGAAGCGGGTGATGTACGTATGTGAATGGAACGAAGCACAGGACAGATATATTCGCGAGGAGACACGTAGGAACCGGGAGCCATATGGCTGAATATAAAAACGATTCTCGAATTTATGAATGGTCGTCTCAGGAGTGTGAGCCAGGCAACGGCGTAGGCGAAAGTTTATGGATTGGGGAGGATTGAATCCTGAAGCTTGGGCGCGGGGGGAAATTCATGGACTTTGAAGGGTAAGAGTATTTGGTCTTAATGAATTAACGTTACAGGATAATGCGCGACTTTCTACAATGGAGCTTTTTATGACTCTTACTCTTCTTCATCTCCTTCCGCGACCAATTTCATTCACGAGTACTTGAAGTGATTGTGGTATGTCTCTACAGTGATTCGATACTTTTTTCTTTCGTCATAGAGAATGGGATGGCTATTTAAAGACAGCTTTCCATACCACTGCTCAAATCCTCTGCAACTATCTGGAAGTCTGACATCTATTTATCCCTGCACAAAATCCGACACGCAATACATCATTCATTCACACGCATCACGAACTCGCACCACCCTCGAAATGTGCAAATAAACCGAAATTATCTGTCTCTCTTGCTCTTTCACCATTACGGTAATCGATACCTGTTCTCTTTACAAAGTGAAATCAGCAGCTGAGCACGGCATCTTACATCGAAATTGCCAAAGGTTCAAGCCCAATGCTGAGAATGCAGAATATGTGCAGAAGGCGGATAAAGAGTTTCACATGTGTGAAGATCGACGAGCGGGATCTGCATTTCCCTTTTCCTTCTTTGGGATGAGATGGAGAGATAAGTAAAAATCGGAATGGGAGGGATGGCCCGGATGGGGAATGGGTTGGGATGGGTGGAAAGGGGTGAGAAAGGCCAAGACGCTAGAAGCTAGATGTTTCTGGGGATGGAAAGGTAGAATGAAGTATAACAGGGGTGTATAGAAATGGGTAGATCTTAGGAAAGCGAAGTAGACTAGACATATAGGGAGGAGGGGAAAGAGCCCAAAGCTCTAGAGAGACTGGCTTGGTCAAACTGTCCTTAGTTTGTACCCTTAGACCATGGACCCTTGAGGAATGCACATACACTATGCTTTTACGTAACATTATGATAGTGGAATCTACAGTGATATTGAGAGTGCGCGTTGCACACGTTATTTTAAAGTCCCTATGCCTGGGAGTGGGAGCGGAGTGGGAGCGCAGGCACAAAGAGGGAATCCCTTTTGTTCTCCCCCACCCCGTATCGAGGAACTTATTGTCTAACCCTCTACCTACAAAGACGTAACGTAGATCGCGATACTTTCGATCGCCCAAATAGAATCAGACATTAGAATGAAGTAACCGGGTGCAAATGCGCAGTTCGGGATGCAGTTGGTACTCCTGTCAGTAGTATTGTACGGGGTATGATGGAACATTGAGCCTTTCAAAATCAATTTAATAGCAATTGTAAGAACATCTCAAGATATATTCATGGTAATAAATGTCTGCAAGCTGGTTGAGTTGAACGGTGGAGAAATTGATTAGATCAAGTCTCATTTATTGATAACATTCTATTTCTATTTTCAATTGATTAGAAATACAATTAAATATATGGTTAAACGTCCACGTTGAATAACTGCTGACATACCCCATACAAAAATGTTTTGACCACATTGACGTAGAGCCGCAAATTGGGGCCTGGTTCGTTCGTTCTTGAGCCTGGGATTTTGGTTCTAGCCAGATCATATATTATCTTATCATATCGTATCATTTCATTCTATGATTCTTTGACATTTCTTCTCCTTCTTCTGCTTCTTCTCCTCCTACTCGAAGACAAATTCAATCGCCTTTGTTCCGTTATTCGTATTGTCTCACCTCATTGTGATTTTGATATTCCTGTCGAGCTCACATGCCTTCTTCCACAACTAAGCATCGGTGATGCCACTGCGATGGCTACGAGGTTGGCTGGGCTTTCCTCCCAGTAATCAGTCAACATTTATCTTCAAATCAAGATGGTTCCTATTACTTCTTCTGGCAATATGGCTACCTCTAAGCAATGCAATGACACCTGCGCGCATTGCAGAGTTACGAAAGGAGACGGTCGAAATGTTTTATCATGGATTTGACAATTATATGGAACTCGCATTCCCGGAGGATGAGGTTTGATTACTGTTAAAGGTTCAGAGTATCTATAGCTAATCTTTCTTTTTAGCTAAGACCAGTATCCTGTACACCACTCACTCGAGACGCTCAAAACCCTCGACATCTCGAACTAAACGATGTACTCGGAAATTATTCTCTTACTTTAATTGACAGTCTATCGACTCTTGCAATTTTGGCATCTGCCCCTCCAGATGAAGAAGAAACCGGCGCAACAGCACTTCAAGAATTCCAAAACGGTGTCGCTTCTTTAGTATTACAATATGGTGATGGCACAAGCGGAGCATCCGGAAAAGGTCTACGTGCTCGAGGTTTTGACTTGGACAGTAAAGTCCAAATTTTTGAGACAGTAATCAGAGGTGTAGGTGGGCTACTAAGTGCTCATGAATTTGCTGCTGGAATTCTACCAATTAATGGATACAAACCACAATCTAGCAAGAACTCAGGAAAGACTTCGAAAATACATCAACCTGCAATTTTGTGGCCGAATGGGTTTAAATATGACGGACAACTTCTGCGCCTAGCTCTAGATTTGGCTGAACGTCTACTACCTGCTTTCTATACCGCGACCGGTATGCCATATCCAAGGGTCAATTTACGACACGGTATACCATTTTATGTGAATTCTCCTCTACATGAGGGATCTGAGCTTGGCGACTATGTGCAAGAGGACACTCCTGAAATTACCGAAACATGTAGTGCAGGAGCAGGTAGCTTGGTTTTGGAGTTCACTACTTTGAGTCGTCTTACCGGAGATCCAAGATTTGAGCAATTGGCGAAGCGAGCATTCTGGGCGGTTTGGAATAGGCGGAGTAATATTGGGCTTATTGGAGCAGGAATCGATGCAGAGAATGGCCAGTGGATTGGCTCATACGCCGGTATAGGTGCGGGTACAGACAGCTTTTTTGAATACGCATTCAAAACCCACATTCTGCTTTCCGGGCAGAGCACTCCAAATATAACGACGCATAGACAACAACAGCATGAATCATGGTTGGATCCAAATACAATATACAATGAATTGAGTGCTGAGGAGAATTCTCCAGAAGCTTTTCTTGCAGTATGGCACGAAGCTCATGCAGCAATCAGGAGGCATTTATATAGTCCTACTCACCACCCGCATTACGTCAATGTTCATCTTGTCACCGGCTCTCCGCAGGCCTTCTGGATCGATAGTCTTGGAGCTTACTATCCCGGTTTATTGACTCTGGCTGGAGAGGTTGAGGAAGCCATTGAAACTAGTCTATTGTACACCGCTTTATGGACGAGATATGCGGCCCTTCCCGAAAGATGGTCAGTACGCGATGGACATGTAGAAGGAGGACTCGGTTGGTGGCCTGGTCGCCCTGAATTCATTGAATCGAACTACCACCTTTACAGAGCGACAAAAGATCCATGGTATCTTCATGTCGGAGAAATGGTTTTGGAAGATATTAAACGCAGATGTTGGGCAACATGTGGTTGGTCAGGTCTACAAGATGTGCGCACTGGAGAGAAGAGCGATCGTATGGAAAGCTTCTTTCTTGGAGAAACAGCCAAATATCTCTACCTACTTTTTGATCCGGATCATCCAATGAACGATCTCGATGCCGCTTATGTCTTTACGACTGAGGGACACCCTCTCGTACTTCCTCGAGAAAAGTCGAAGCGCCCCGTTACACCTCGTACGCCGGTAACAAGTAAAGCAGTT